AGGGTTCAGGCAGGTTTGTTCTTAGCACAGCTAAGCCTCCGTAGCTACACTGCTTTGTACACTTGCATTAGCTCAATAAGCACCAGTGCAAATATATGTATACAAACAAGGGAATTATACCCCTCACTCATAGTGTAGATATAGCCTTAGATCGCTGGGCAAGGCTCTCTGGAGCTGCACCTTAACCAATTCAGAGTTAAGTTTGCAGTCCTATCTGGGACTCACCTCATGATGTCCGTGATTGAGGACAGCACCCACTGTGCAGTGGTGACTTTAATACTTTGGTACAATTTGGGGAGCTCAGGAAAGAGAAAGCCGGTTTCCAGATTTTCCTAGCTTTTGTTAATTTCAGGCCTGTGCACAGTGGGGTCGGTATTTCATCCTGTTTGGGGAACATTTCCCCCCCAGTTTTATTTTGGGTGACATTACACCTGCAAAATTTCATATTGTTTTCAGAACCTGGATTTTCATACTGAAATATGCCAAAGTCACACCTTGAACTTTGCAGAGAAAACACAGAGGCTTGTCGGCATGGCCGTTCACATGTCAGGGCTCCCCTCCACACCAGGTGCTGTGGAATTGTGCAGGTTTTGCCTTGCAGTTGCACCCTGTTTATTACATTGCAATGAAATGTGGAAACTCAAATGGTGAGACTGTCACATTAATAGTGAATATTTTATACAACCCCAATGCCCAGTCCTGCAAAACCTTACTCATGATAGCAATCCTTATGCATGCAGGCAACCAGGGGGGCTGGAACAATTTGCACAGTGGGAGTGCTGAGAGCCATTGAACCAAATTACAAACCCCGTATGTGATGGAAACTGCTTCAAGCCAGGGGCAGCAGCAGCACTGCGAGCACCTCTAGTTCCAGCACCGATGCAGGCAATCCGATCAACTACACCAGTAAGGTTGTGAGACCAGGCTCTAGATATTAGGATCTGAGGATCTGGCCCGCAAGAGTATATTTCCACCCCCTGTTGGGCACACCATATTGCATAATCAAAATCTGCCCTGGAATGTCACAAATATACCCTTTCTTTTTATTTTGCACGTTGGCTTTTATTGGGCTTTAACGTTTTAGGCCGTTTACCAGGAGACATGCTGCGCTCAGTCCGGGCGCAGAATTCCCAGTGATGCTCATAAAAGTGCCAATTTTTTGACTCTATTGGGGGACAAATCAGATCAGCTGGCTAGCAGGCCTTGAAGTCTGCAGTCAAGATCCTCCAACCCCATCTGTGATTTATCTTGTTGACACCGGCAACAAAGGCTCAGTCCAACCTTCAGAAAGGCCATCTATATGGACTATCTGATAAGAAATTATTTATGTCCTTTCTGTCTCCTTGCCTTATCATCCTACAATATATTGCAATACAATTACAATCATCACATTTTGGGATTAATCACCTTAGAAAATTGTATTCTCTTGTCTCTGTTCCGCTGGTCTCAGTTCATGGTGATGGTTGTGTATTAACTGCATTAAATCTTGCATGTCATCCCAGATATTGTATCTGAAGACTCCCATCCTAACTGTAGTACTAAATTTGCATACACAGTGCAATACCTTGTAAACTGAAGCCAATATTTTTGTGTCCAAGAAAGTTAAACTATGGAATCAGTTCAACCAAAGTTTTTAGCACTTGGGAGCAAAATTGTTTAACTTATTAAAGGAAAAAATATTAAAACAGGGAGGCACTTTTTAAACTTTTGAATAATTAGAAATCTAGGAGTAAATCTACACAACATTTTTCAATCACAGTATTATTCTGGTTTTCTATATATAGGAGCTTAAACATTTGAATATGGGTATATCCTTCTTCCCAGCAAAGTCCCTTTCTTATCAATAAAAGGATACACACACTTTTCTTAAGAATATCATGTAGGCTTTACACAAAAATCTCCAAAAATTCCCATTATTGTAACTTAAAAAGTAAAAAAAGAAAGAAAATCTCCTTTAAAAATACCTACAAATTAACTCACCAGAAAGCCAGTAGTTTTCGGAGGAAGGGAAATTACCTTTCTTATGTAAATCTTGCCATCTGCAGCTTTGACACTATGCTGAGCGCTACTGAGTACTTCACTTCAGCAGCTGATCTTCTTTGCTCTGACCTCTGTAAGTTACAAGCAGTGATTCATTCTGCTGCTCGTAATCACGTGGAAAGTAGAAACCTACAGGTATCTTTTTCAAAGTCCCAGAAAATAACACCACCCTCTGCTGTTGGTTTCATTTACAACACAGGGTGAATGAACTTTTCCCCGTGATGAACTTTAAGAATGTTCCATGTATTTACTTAAGTTGTTGGCATAATCAGTATGAAAAAAGAGAGCTGAATAAAACTAGGTACTAAAACATAGTACTCTGGTTAAAAAAAAAGTAACACAATATGGTTTTCGTGCCTTTGTTATGTGAAACCTAAATTAAATGCTCATTTTTTCCACATAGAAAATTAATATGGCTAGATATTATCCATACCATCACACAAAGGTGTTCACAGCTAATCTGGACGACACTGGTATTTCAAGAATCAGTTGTCCACAGGTCCAACAAATGGTTCTTTCATCTCCCCCAATTTTTTTTAACCTGCCCATTACGCATGTTTTCCACCTATTGATCCTTTTACAGTTCAGTTTTTCTACTGTGGCAGCAAAGAGGTCTGAAAGACAACAGGCACAAGTCTAGAAAGTAACTGAATTAAAAGAAATAACCCTAACCTGAGGTAAAATGACTCTATTATTGATGACTTTAAGGTAGGACTCCAGCCGGGAGTGGGCATTCCGGCACCGCTTGGGGCGGGAGGAGACGCAGCAGGAGGTGGTGCTCCCCATCTTCCTTCGCCGCCTAGCCCCGGCCGGCCAGCCAGGTGCAGGAGGATGCAGGGGGAGCCCGTCACCAGCGGTGGCGAGAAGCTATGGGCAGCAGTGAAGAAAACAACAAGCAGGAGAGGCAGAGGTGGTGGCTGCTGCTGCTCCCCTAACCATACTGATCCCCCCACTGGCTCCTCCAAGAAGCCTTTCCCCAAGCCCGGCCAGCAGAGCAGAGGGCACAGCCGCTAACTCATCCTGCCCTAGCATCATGAGATTTTTCCAGGACCCCCCAAATTGGCCAGGGCCCCTAGGCACAGGCCCTATGGGCCCGTGTGTTAACCCACCACTGTCATAAAAGACACATGTTACAGGTGTTGCCCAGTGTTTGTAGATAATAACAACACGGCTATAGCATCTTCCCGCTGAGGCGCTCAAAGCCCTTTACAAACATAATCAACACAGTCCAAAACACCCTTGGGGGGCAGAGAAATAGTATTATCCCCATCGTACAGGTGGAGAAAGGTGAGATATCTAAATGATTATTATTAACAATAATACAAGAGGTACATAAGCAAGAGGCCTTGTTTTAGCGGTGCTGGGCATCCCACAATGCCAAATCTGAATTCGATCCTTTTGATCTGATCCTTCTACCTCTCATTAACATGCCAAGTTACGCTGTCAGAGTGTAGGTTAAATAGAGTAGTACACGGAAGACATATTCGCCAGAGGAAAAGGTGGTAGGATAACTATTTGTTCCATGTGCTATATAGGCGCAGAAGGCCATTCGGCGATTTACTGGTGAGGGCTGTAGCCAGAGCGGGTCCCTTGCAGGTACGCGCTAACTGATTAACCAGTAAAACTTTGCAATGTAATAATAATGCCAAAGTATTCGTTTTAATGTCAGCCGTAGTTGAAAATAGGGATTAATGCCACAGAAGCCATTAGCTTTTTTACACGTGTCTGATCTTAGCATCTGAGTGCACAACTGAACGGTGCACAAAAAGGAAAAACCAGATCCCATATCAGTTGTGAGTCTCCTAACAACCAGGTATCATTAATAGCCTATGGTCAGGGAGTGGTTGTCACAGGCTCCACATTCTCTCCCTGTCTTCAGCATTTTCCAATCTGAATTGACGCCGCTTTGCTGTTGAAGCAGCGTCTTGCAATCATTTATCTTTGAGTTCCCCGTCTAGATGCAATTCAGAGCATTCTCTGCCCGCCCCTGTAAAACCTTATCTAGCCAATGCTCAGACTCTCCAGACAGATAGGAGAAGGATTTACCTTCAGTCTGGCAGGGAACAGGATTATAGTTTTTCATTGACAATCCATTTCTTAGGGGTATAAAGGCTCGCTTAGACTGAGGAAAGAGGCTTAAGGCTAAAAGGCAGGGGATTTGATGTAACTTATACAGTCTCTCTCCCAGGCTTTCTATAGTGGTTTTTTCCTTTTTCCTTCTTCCTTCAAGTTGCATGACTTATAAGGGCTCTGGCGCGCCGGACGCAGCATTATCACCCATTCCAAGGGAGTCTGTAGGGCTTTAAATGAGCACACGTGTTGTGTACATCAGACTGAGCAAATAGTTCCTTCCACCATCACAGGGCCAAACGGGGTCGTGTATCCCTCACTTGTTGGCTTCAACAGATGATCAAGAGGCGGAGGAAAATCTTGACCCACCCAGACCAGTCACCAAGTGAAAGCACGGAACAGCCAGCACCAAGATCTATCCGACCTAAAGCTGATCATCATCGATGTTTTCAGACTGCTATTGCCCCCAACTGGGGTCTTAAAGCCCACCCATGCAGGGTTTGGCACTATAGCTTACATTTCCAAACCTGAATGCCTATGGAAGTGCGCCGCGGAAAACCATATTTAGGGGCCTAATAATTAGAGGCACTGACCATCTGCAGCTCCCACGGAAGCCAGGAGCAGGTGTAATAGCTCCCCAGTGATGGTTTGGCTCATGTCCTGTGTCAGGGCAGCTGCACTAGTCAGTCGTCAGAGGGGGAACTCAGTGGTCTAGAAACCTAAGCCGCCTCTCCCAGTCACAGGAGTAAGTTGTGTGGCTGGGGGGGAGGGTATGTGGCCGAGGCTCCCTGAAGGCCTGATCCACTGTCTGAAACAAAGGAAAAGATTCCTGCAGGCTACAATGAACCTTTATTCCCCAGGATTTTGACGGCCACCTTTGTATACCTTACCTGACCTCTTCGGCTCCACCCATGACATAGGACATGACTTTGTGCTCCGTTTCCTCCCCAGATTTGGCTTTGGTATTTCTAGGAAGAAACTAGACTCCGTCCTTGGCATTTCAGTTTTGCTTATCTGTTTGTAGTACAGTTTTCTGATCCCTTCGGTGTCTTTGACCCCACACGCCTGGTTACAGAATAACTCAGCACTTTTTTTTTTGGTGCCATGTACAAAATCAGAGTTCAAATCCATTATGAAAGCAAGGTCCCTGAGCCTTTTATTTGAATAACAATAAAAATGGTTCCTTTAACTGTGCAATAAACATTTATATCCAGACAAGACTTTAATTACAGTGCATAAAACAGCTAGTTGAACTGTGCGGTCACATTACTGTCATGAATCAATTCTTGGGAGTAAAATAGATCTGAGTGACTTTCAAACCATTTCATGAAAGCACCAGAAACAAAACACTAATTATTTTGTAAATGAGACTGGCAAGAATTCAGCATGAAGTTTCAGTATTTCCAGAGTCCTTAAGTATAACTACTGGCTGGGTTCTGAGGCCTAAATTTGCTATATTAAGTTACAAATCAGTATGACTGTCACTAGAACAGAGCCGTAACTAGCTATTTTTGCACCTGAGGGAAGAATATAAAATTGCGCACCCCCCAGTGCCTCCCAGTCCCCCCCCCCACCGAAACACACACACCCAGCGCCGCCCACCCCGTGGAAACAAACCCATCTTCCACTAACCTGGCCTTCCCAAACTGCTGACTAGATAAAGCCATCAGCTCACAAGGCTGCCTAGACTCATCCAGACTTTCCTTACCAGGCACATTGCCACTCCCAACAGATACACTGCGGCTCTTCTCACTACACTGAGGCCTTGCCACACTTGCAGATGTACAGCATTGTGAGTTAAACCTGACTTCGTGCAGCTGAGTAGGGAAAGCGCTGCAGTCTGTCCACACTGACAGCTGCCCAGCGCACTGTCATGGCCACATTTGCGGCAACTGCAGCGCTATTGGGAGCGGTGCATTATGGGCAGCTATCCGACAGAGCACCTGTCATAACTATAAAGGGAAGGGTAATAGCTGTCCTGTGTACAG